GTATTCTTTTGTGAAAAGCAAAATATGAACTGAAAGGAATATTTGGGTAAATTTTATCTCAAATGACACAAGATTAAGCAGCTGTAGGTTGTGAAATGCAGCCTACATCAGTCCATTTGAGTCTGAAAACATCAAACTATTTTCATAGGAAGTTTCTCTTGGGAACTTGAAATCAGCAGTTATTATTCAGTTAGAAACATTATTTAAACAATTCTGCTTTGTGATTATTGCTTTTTTTTCTCTTTTAATTAAATGACAAAAATGGCTAGTATTTTTACTTAAACCTTTTTGTATTAGTTAGTCTGATTAGCTTTTAGTTGTTGACAAAGTTAAAGAAAAAAGAGACAAATGAAATTTTAAAATTGGTAATAAATGCATCTTTAGTTAAAGTATTAAACTTTCTTCAAGTTGAAGATTTACAAACTATTTTATTTCATGCTTCACTATAATAAATAATTACTGTAAGCAACTTGATAGAAAATAAAAATGGTGGCTTTAAAAGTTTTTTATGAGATATAGTTAAAAAGTAAAAATTGATATATTGAAGAAGCATTTTATACTTATCAGGTTTTTTTATGTATTTTATTGCTGTTTTCAGTTACAGTGTAACCCGGATATAAGAGAGATTTTCTCTGGTCCCAAATTAGAGCCTATGTTAATGTATATAAATTAGACCAAACCCGGATATAAGAGAAAGCCGGATATAAGAGACTTCTTCTCCGGTCCCAACAACTCTCTTATATCCGGGTTACACTGTATATAGAAACAACTCTGAATTGCATCAATAAAACAAGTTCCCTTAGAATTCCCATCCCCAAATCTTCAAAAGCATATATTTTACTAACAGATAAAATATTTTTTTATTAAATCTGCTTTTTGGTAAAAGAAAAATACCAGTCTTTACCTTCAGCTGTAACTCTTGTTTAGTTATAAAGTCTTCTTGCTAAATTAGTGAATAAGTTCCATGTAAACTTTCCAATCCCTTTAAAGATTTCTTTCTATAAATCTTTTTTCAGAATTTAATATATTTGTTTTTATTTTATTTTCTATTTTATTTATTTATTGTAGAAAAATCTCTAAAGAATTCCTTGAATTAACTTTTTATGAGAATGAATGTCTTGCTAATCAAGAGAGATGTTCTCAGTTTTAAATGATTTCAAAAATTAAATTTGACAAAGTAATTTATGCTACTTTTCTTAACAACCTTTAAATGAAAACAGGTTTGTTGACTCTCTGTTAAGGTGGTTTAAGTATTAATCAGATAAGCATTGAAAACCCAGGCATCTCAGAATAAATTAAAAATATATGCTTGGCATTTGGCAGAATATTTGCCCTATAAATAAAATAAGCAACAGCACAATCATGAAGATATTCATATAGTTGTTTATATTTTCTAAATTATTTTTTTCCATTAAGTTTTTATTTCTTGTTTCTGATTGGATTGTAAACAAAGAATGCTAGAAGCAGTCTTGATTTTTAAAAATACTAAAATTCATTTTTGTAGCAAGTCTTTCAGCAAGAAATAATGATTAAAAAATAAATCTTTTGAAAATAAAAGGCATAATATACTAAAAATGTCACTTATTTTCATTTACATTCACTTTCAGAATGAATGAAAAGTACACTAGTTTTATCATTTTTAAAAAAAATAATTTATGCTGATATAACTATTGATACAATAGAATCAAAAGTGAACTTTTTTTACTGAAAGTTATTTAAAAATAAATGCTCCTCATGCCATCTAATGATAAAAAGTAAACTTCTTAGGTTACGTAATATGTCCCCTAAACAGATGTTATTGATTAGCCCTCATTTACTCAGGGATCCTGTTCAGTTTTTGTTTAAAATCTAGAAGTCATAGAAGGAAGTGTAAACAAATTTAATTTCTCTGAGCGGATGCTGTTGGTTATTCTGATTTGAAGTATCAAATCACTAATTTGTTTCATTTGGTATGCACTCATTAATGTTTACATAGAATTTAAAACCTTCTTCAAAATATATGCAAATTCAATATTGTATCAATTTGATTTTGCACACAAAAATATTGTCTAAATTGGAATTGATTAAAAGTAATATTTCGAAATTTTTGCTGCATGGAAATGTTTTGAAAAAGCTGTTAAAATGAGATTATGAAACATGTAGTAGTGAGAGAAGTGGCTAAGAAAATAAATTTGTAAATCATTTGATCTGGTATTAATGTCTGTTTTTAACTAAAACTTGTGTGCATGATTTGGATTCTGGTAATAATCTACATTAATTCTGCCTTTTCTTATATCTTAATCTATTAATTATACCCACTATCCCCAAAATGGAAGGATGTGTTTTTAATTGGTTATAGGTAGATAACTATAATTAATGGATTTTATCTTAAATTTTATAATTAATATGAGGTTATATGGGGAGGGGGGCATTAATGGGTTAAGAGAATTTGTAGAAAATGATTTTTATGGCCTGTCTAGAATTAAAAAGTGTAATTTGTGAAAATCTGTCTATATTCCATTATAGAGATACTGACTAAGAGTAGCTTAGTAATGGTGGAGTAGGAAAGAGTGTTGCAACATAGTCTTCTATGGGAGCAAGGCTTGGGATCATGCTTTCACAATTTTTTCTTTCTCTCTTTAACCTGACCTTGAGCACTGATCTCTTGCACTGGTGTGAAATTACCTCAGCTATAGAGTAGGTCCACAAATCTTATTATATCAGTGGTTTTTAAAGTCCCATTTCACATTCCTCTCCCATTTTAAATTTTATCTGGTAATTTTTTTTTTTCACCATTTATACTTATGACATACATATGGCTAAAATGAATTTGAAATTCCTCCATTGGGATCCAAATGCTTTCTGTTTGAGAACCACTGTATACTTATTTCAAAATTAAATTTAATTCTTAGCTGGTAGATAAAATATATTAGCAAAATATGTACAACTCGGATGAGATTAGTATAGGTGTGCATTTTTGTTATTTTCATTTGGATAAATATAGACTGAAGAAAAGTCATTAATGCCCAAGCTAAAAGAAAGTTTGTGAATTGACTGAAATAATTTTTTCATGTCAGATTAATTGCTTAATGCTTTTATGCATTATTTAGGCCTTTTCTTTTTCATTGATACTTCTAAGTTATTTTCTTTCTATTAAACATTTTCAAATACAAAATCTATTTTAACATTTTACAACTTTTATTATTCACAATAATTAATATTGTTCATTAAGGTCTATATCTGAAAGAACTTTATATGTCTTGAACTTAAAATCTGGCAAGATGAAAGTAATGCGAAGTAATTTCCTATTTAGTCATATTGTTTTATACAAATTTGAATTCACATAGGAATAGTGAAAGATGCCTTCCAGAAACTAACCAAAACGATAGTAAAATTTTGTTAGAAGCAAAGAAAAGAGTATTAAACAGCTCTGTAATTTCTTATGTCAGTGAATGCTGGACAGTCTTTGCATAGGTGAAGAGGTTTGAAGTTACAGAAATGTAGTTCAACTAATGAATGTTGTGAATGCTATGGATGGTACATGTGAGCAACAAGGAACTAAAAGAACAGTTATACTTATGATGAGAAAAACAGTTGAAATTTCTGGACAGTGAAGAAAGAGGGCCTAGGGAATTTAACACTCACAGACAAAAAACAGAGGAAAATAATAAATAATGAGCATGTGTGAATGGATGACACAAATAGGGATGGTAGAGATTCAAAAGCTACTTAGAGTAACAAAAGAGAGGAAATTGTGGAGAGCCATGATTACTTACATCCTAGAAGGACATGGCTTACACAAGAAGGCTATTGTTTGTATCTACTACCAATTTTTTAAATTACATGAGTCTAAATGATATGCATAATAAAAAGAAATGGTTTTCACTGCTTGGGTTGCATGGGATTAATGTAAAATAATTGTTAGTCCTTTATTTTGGTTCTTAATCCAAAGTACCAGATTTTTACTCAGATTGATTGTACTTGTGGAAGCTGCAAGAAATTGGACCATTCTTTGGCTTTCAAGATAATAATGGTGGTGATGACTGCTTTGGTTTTATGGGATTTTCTTATAGTCAGATGGAAGGAACCAGGAAATAAGCAAAATATGTCAAAATCAAAAAAAAAAAACCCAAAAAAAACAAAGAAGGAAGACAACACTTGAAACAAGGCAAATTATTTTCTTTTTAGAATGAGAATTAAACCACTGCTAAATATGACATATGGCATATATACATTTCTTAAAATATTAAAAAAAAATGACTTAACAATAATTATTATTGTTTTACTTTTCTAAACTTGATATGTACTGTTCAAATTTGTTTCTTTATAATAGATTTTAAGCAATTTGATTAAAGTTTTATTTTGGTAAGAAAATGATGCAGGCTTTTGAATTGTTCCGATTTCTGTTCACTGTTCAGTATACTAAAGAGATCATTTTGAAATGCTTTAAAAATATTCTTGCTACTTGTTGATAGTATTAATTATCTTCAAGAAAGCTAAGACTAAACCTTTTTTTAAAAAAATTGCTATCTGTAAAGACTGGATAAATTTAAGGGTTTATTACTTGAAATCTATGCATTTTATTTTTTATTTTTCATTTCTGATATTTTGGGAAATATTTATAATTTTAAGAGGAAGTTCCATGCAGAGTGAATTAAAAAAAAACCCAATAAAACTTCAATCCTTCTATCAGATAACATTAGTATTATTAAGGAAGTTTACTTTATAAATTTACTGTAATGATACTATCTTATTTTCAACTGACAAAATTTACTTAGATTTAATTTCTAATCAGTTACTTAAAATCATTTCCGACTTCTGTTTCAAATTAAAAAGAAAGAAAATAATCAGCATTTGGACAGTCAGGAAATAATTTGTATTTCTGATGCAAATGCATAAAGTTGTTTTTTATAAGGGAGTTGTTATGGTCTCTTGGTTGTCAAGAGAATCTAATGAATGAAAGGTGGAAGGGGAAGGTGTTAAGAATACATCTGTTCAAGTAGCAACCCTGAACTTGGCACATGGAACTTTCTCTTCAAAGCCTTATTAATAGATTCCACATGACTGAGGTCAAGAGGACTAATGTAATCATATTGTTGCCTTTATATAAATTTTGATTTGGGTATTTTTGCTTTTATCTAATTTTCTGTGTACTTTTCAGATGATTCAGACCTTGCTTTCATTTCTATCTTTTTTTTTTTTTCTAGTGAAAGTTTTAAGTTTTGAGATCACTTACAAGATTACACTATCCTTAAGTAAATGAATAATATTCTCAAGCTATTTTTTCTTATTCTTTGTTAAGCCTTTCATACTTTTCAGGCAAAAGAATAAACTCTATCTTTTGGCAATATGCAAAATCTCTGTCATCAACACTTCCCATTAATAATTTTTAATCCTGTCAATCAAATTAGCATTTATTTACTTTCCTATTTGTTTTTAATAATCTCAAATCTGTACCTGGTAAAGATTTGAGAATTTATCTTTATTTTAGAATCTCGTCCATTTGATACTTTTTTACGAACTTAATTGGTGGTTAGTCATAAATTTTTCTTTACTTGATTCCTTTCATAATTGATATAATAAATGCAAATGTCAGTGTGCCACACTTTTTCAATTAACGGGACACGACTAACTCTCTAACTTTCAATAGCTCATGTTACAGAAATTTTAGATTACCAAGTTTTCATTACTGTGATTGTTTTTGGTGTTTTTTTTGTTATTACTTCTTTGTACAATAACAATTTTTATAACTTGGAAATAAATTGTGAAATCCAGCAAAAGCCACCATGAAATAAAAATAATTGTTTGTACAGAAAGTAAGGACCTATGCACATCAAATTGTCTTTAAATTAAATGGCAGCAGAAAAATTATCGAACTTTTAAAAGGTAAGCTAAAATATTAATGCAATATTTAAATGCAGCAATCAATTTTGAGTTCTTCTGTAGTTTATTGTTGCCTATTGCATATGGCAGCAGTATACCTTGCAAAAAAGAAATCTCTGCCCACAGAGGAACAGATTGCAATCAAAAGAGCCAGGGCTGCAATGAGGAAAAGAAAGTCCCATGCAAATGAAAACCCAAATCAAACAGCAGCTTCCAATGCTGAGAATATGCAAAGACTTAGGGACTCCCAAACTCCTGAACAAGCCAAAGGCCCAATCAAGAGCTCTGTGCAGGAGCTAGTTTAAATACCACCCAATAGTGTGGCTTTTTAGCTAGTAATGCAGCCAGTTTATTTTCCAGTTTAAATTTGCTTCATCATTTAAAGATTTTGTCATTAACTCTGATCACTAATTTTACTTATATTCATTGAATGATGACCTCCCTTGTGTTTGGTAAAGCTGTACATAAGAGGAATGAATCACTTATAAAAATGATGGGCTTTGCTTATTTTATACAAGACATCCATTTAAGTAGAAAATTGGATATTGAAATTTTTTTCTTTTCAAGATTTATATTTTGCTACTTTAGAATTGCAAAGTTGTTTTACATCTAATGAGTGTTTATTTTAAACAGGGGTATTAAATTATTCTTTTAAATTCCATAAAGAAAAGTTTTGTATTAAATAATTTGAACATTTCTTTAATCTTTGTAATGTATTGTTATTTCAGGCTTGCAAAGGATGTAAACCACCTTGTATTTGTAATGGTACCAAAGGAGAACGAGTGAGTACTTTTTTAATATTTTCTCATTAACTATTTGAATAGACTCCTTTTTCTTTGATTTACTGATTCTTGCTTTGATTTTGCTTATAATTATACAGTAAAATTGTTACATTTTTCTGTTAATTAATCTAGTTATGACAATGATAACCAAACACTATACTGATAATTGCTATTTTTATATAGCCATTCTTAAAATCCCTTCCATCTCATCATTACCTCTTGTAGCTGTTACATTTGACAATTTGTCTCTAATTTTACTTATTTAGCAATTAACAAAAAGTGGATTATTTCTGAACCAGAATATAATTTTCAGTTAATATTTTCAAAATTTAATTTTTTTTTTAAATTTCCAAATGTATATCATGGCCTCTGTCAGTTGTGTTAAAATTTTTATCATATAAACATAAATCATTCCAAAATACTCTTTGTTGTATAATTATATAATTCTAACAAGTCTCAACTTTCCCAATCAGATTTCAAAATCCATTTTTTATTGAATTCTATAAGAATTTTTTCTTTTCAAGTAACTTGGTATGCCTCATTAGAAAGCAACCTAAATTAGTTTACTTTTTTTATCTGAACTAAAAAGTAGTAGGAAGAAAATACTGCTTTCAAGAGATGTGCCTAGTCTTTTTAAAATTCTTGTAAAAACAGTTGCAAATGATTAAAAAGAAATTTATTTATTGTAGTATTTTTTTTTTTTTTTTTTTGAGAAAAGTTACTCACATTTATCTGTTGTAAAAAAAGCAATTTATACCAACATTTTATTTGGACTAATTTATTGCCAAGTTAAATGAGATACTCCAAGATTATGAAACTATCTCTGTTAAAATAACATCATTATTATTATTATTATCATCATCATCATCCCCATCATCATCACTACCACCCAATAAATGAAGACTTTTGTTTATTCTTATTGAACAAGGAAATGTATAATTTTGATATCAATTAAGTGTTTTGTTTTGCTGTAAGGGAAATAATAATTTTCTCTGTATGTAAATGTTTTTTTGTTTGTTTTTTTTTTTTTGCTAAATCCTCCACTGAATTTTTAATAAACAAAGTCAATTGGTAGTTTCCTTTTTTGAAAGTTGAAATCCAATCTGATAGTCAGAATTATTTATGTAAATTAAACTTATTTAAATTTGCCAAAAGTCAGTTCCATAAGGTAGTTGAATAAGCTTTTATGTGTGTGTATTTAAATTCTTCAATTTAAACCTGCTGTTGCTTGTAAAGTTTGGTTTCATCCTGCACCTTTGCCAGATTGTATGTTCGACTTTCTGCAGCTGCATTCTCTTGCAGCATACTAGTCATGTCTATAATAAGTGTTATGCTATGAGGAGAATTAAGCAGACATGACTGCAGGGCAGGAGGGTATAATCCACCTCCAGCAAGATGGAATGTAAACTTGGATAGGCAACTACATCTTTTAAGTCTATTCCTTTGCTTGTAAGATTTAATATCTCATTTGACTGTTGAATCTCCTCAAATCTCAATTCATTTTCTAGGTTTCCTTTTTTTCACTTTGTGTGTGCGTGTTTTTTTAATTTTTTTTTTTTTTGTGTTAATGCCATGTCTCTCTTCAAGATGGTGGGTAATTAAGGCTATTTATGGGTTTATTTTCTTCAACTGAATTGCTATGACTTCTTGGGAAAGAAAATGGCAAGTTTCTCAAATTTCCTTCACCACAGTTTTGCATTATGTTTTCCTTGTGTTACACTGGCTGCCTTCCAAACCAAGAGAATTCTGTCTACACGGCTATTTAATCCACAGCTGGATTCATGCCTTTCTCAAGGACATTTGTGCAAAAGTGAACACAGCAGACTTGGCCAGATTTGAACTAATAACCATTATGCCAACTGCACATCCTTTTTTCTTCTCATCTCTTTAAAATACTGAAGAATATTTTATTGACTTTTCTTGCAGATATTGAATTGAGTCTTGCATTTAGTTCAGCTTGTGCGGATTACCTTTTGGCATGTCACTGTGAATAAGATTTTAATTAGGAAACTAGTTTCACTATTTACACTTTATTTACTTTTTGAAAACAACAAATGTTTTCATCTTTACTGTTCTGTAATTTGTTCTTTAAAATCAAGGGTCTGAACAGACAGCTTTTAGATGAAAGAATTTTACCTTAACATTTGATATCAGTTTAGGATTTTTGATTGCTTGACTTTTGATTTCATGTCTACTTTTATACAGACTCCAAATGTTTGTGTTTTGAGCCAGTCTCTTCTGGTGTGGTGTCTTTTTAAATTGGGCAGTAGAGAGTGCACTTGACTAATGTGATTGGAGATAGAATAGAGCATTTTTTGCCCCATAGACAAGGAAATTAACCAACATAATATATCTAGGCACAACTGGTATATTGTTGACATTAAATCTAAATCACTTACAGAGGACAACATACCTGTTAGAATACAAGTTCTATCAGTCAAAAACATATTGAAGATCTTTGACTTTCTGTGTTTGCTAGAAGCTTTATGCCTTAACAGTATCACAATAAGCAATAAATCCCTATTTGATATTTGTAAAATAATTAAGCAAAAAATATTTTTGTCTGTAAAAGAAAAAAAACAAACCTAATGTCCAGACAAGGGAAATAGTCAAAATAATTAACTATAACTGTACAAACTTTAAGAATAGTAATAGATAAATTTTATTACTTTATTAAAATAATTTTATTCCTTTTTCTATATCTGCCCATAATAATTCATAATTGTCTATTGACAGCAGTAACACTTAATTTTTTTAAAACTAAAATGCAGTTACCCCCCTTAGAACACAACTTTTTTCTTTTTTAAACACTAATAATTTCGCTCTGTAACTGCAATCACCATTTTTGACCCTTTATAAATTAAATTACATCACTCTGCCGTAAAAATGGTTGAAAAATATAAAGTTCTCATTATTAGCAACTTTTTATATATATATATATATATATATATATATAATCGGGAACTGATGAAATTATATTTTAAATATTTACAATTTACATGCATAATTAATTTTTAAGCATTAATTTTGAAAATATAATTTACTTTGTAAGATGTCTGTGAAATTTAAATCATGACCTTCACTGACTGATTTGTGTATCCAAAGTACAATTTTATTAATTCCATACTATATGTGATTATTGTAAAGTTGATGTTAGCAGATTTTTTTCTGTCTACTAAGTGATATTCAAAGCTTTTTAGAGTTATTTGTAGTTTGTTTAGTATTATATTATTTATAGATTTGGAAAGTTGCCAAGGAGGTAGTTATAAATCATTTGATACTTTCTACTGATAAAGAAATGAAAGAACTTTCACTTCAAATATCCAAAGAAATACCTGCTAAAAGAGTCACCATTATAAAACTGATTTAGATTTAGGTGCTTAGCTATTCATACATATAAAGCTCATTGCAATAAAATTTATAATAGGATATATGGAATGCTATCTTCCATTGGACTACTCTTCATAACTGTTTAAATGAGACAAATTTTTGTCTGTAATTGCCTTGTGAATCTATGCCAGATTAATGTTCAATAAAGTTTCTGTTAGGCCAAGTTACATTTTCTTGCAATTCTTACTTCAATAGTCTTTGTAAATGGACATTTCTTGAATAATATAAAAACTGTTCAGTAATAATTTAAAAAAATTACATTATTTCAGTTTTAAATGTATTCTTGTATACAGTCAGTCTGAAGTTATTATACAAATCAACTTGAATTTGCTTAGAAAAATTTTTGTCAAATTTTAAATGATTAATTTAGATGACAAAACAAACCATTAGTTAAATTTTTAGGTAGTTTCAGCATGTTTTATTAAAACTGGATTTATTATAAAAACTGCATTCTGAAGTTATTATTCAAAATTAGAAAATCACTCTTTACTTCAATAACAAGGTAATAAAATCCTCAGCAATTGATCAATACCTATAATAGATCAAATAACAAACATATCAGAAGTCTTTGAAGCATTTACATCTTAATATATTAACACCCAGCAATATATTATCTATTGATTTTTGTTAAATTGTTTACTTCAGGTTCAATTTCCAACAAGGTGGTTTTAATTGCTTCCCATAGGTCTCTTTTGCTATCATGTTGTTTTTCAGCTTCATATAATTTCATCTTCACAAGTGACCATAGATTTTTGATTGGGATTTGATGGTGGCCATTCCATTATCATCTCTCTTCTAAACCTTTTATGCTAAAAAAACAAAAATCATGGGTAACCTTAGATACATGAGAAGGAGCATTGTTGTGTATAAATACATACTACACTTTGAATCTGTGAGGCTGGGACTCCTACCATTCATATAAAGTCTTGCTTATGAAATTGCAATAGTTAGCACTGTTCAGTTTAACTCCATCAATTTTGAATAGTCCAATAATAGTTTGGTCGACAATTCCAGTCCATATCACAGTTGCATCATTGCTGCCTTCTTTTAGCGGCAGGCACATCTGCATTGGATAAAATCCAACATTTGGCCTATTCATTAGATCCATTGAATGTCACCCAAGATTATTTTAGAAAAGTCAATTTTCATGTATATCTTGGTTCAGTTTTGACATTTTAAAATATTTGCATTGCAGAGAGGAGTTTGCCTAGGAGATTTCTTGATAGATCCCAATTTGTGAAGTATTCTACACTTTTTGTCCTTCTTGATTCCCTCAGTTTTAGCCTGTTCAAAGATTTGAATGCTGGTCAAAAGTGGTTGTTTTCAATATAACTCACTTCGGTTTACATTACCTTCGACGAGACAAGTTTTTTTCCTTTGCAAGTTCTCAATTTGGTTATATTTTTAACAGTCCTACTTATTATTTAAGAATCTCTGTGAAACTCCTTTGACATCTCCATAGTGGACATTCCTTTACTAAATAACTTTATTTTCTGTTTTTCAGCATTTGTTAGTTGTTTCAAGATATAATATCGAAAAAAATATATTTTATTATATTTCAGAGGCTTTAAACTAATATTGGTTTAATTTGTATAACTTCAGACTGCAGTTTTTATAAGGCCAATAACTTTAATAAAACATGTTGAATCTACCTAAAAATTTAACTCAAGCTTTGTTTTGGTGTCTAAATTGTTTAAAATTTGACAAAAATGTTTCAAAGCAAATTTGAGTAATATGTCATTTACATAACTTTTGACATTGTAGACTTAACTGACTTGAAATTTTAAAAAAATTATTGATTGCTTAAAGATATTTTATTAAAAATTGACTAGTTCATCATATTCTATCCAAGTAGTAAATTTTAGTATTCATTTAAGATATTTAAAAAATACTTGTGCATAATACACTAAAAAATTTGTTGTGTTATTAAACAGAATCTTCTAAAAAAATAGAATCTTACCAATTCCAATAATTTATATTTAAAAATTTAATCAATTTTGATCAAATTCACTGTGTTTTAAGATGACCATGTGATATAAACTGTTTTAAATAGTATAAACCTTTTGCTCAGTTATATGTAGCCATTTTCAGATTTTTCCTTCTTTATTTACTTGTTTGACCTTCAAATTAAAAGTATTTAATTTTTTCCTGGATAAATTGAATACATTACCTGTTTATGTTTAAAACTTTGCTTTTGATTATTTCTTTAATTATCTTAAGAGCATTTATTGCCTTTTGCTTTGAAATGTTAGTAGAGTATCTTCTAAGTAAAAATATATTGGTTAATTTGTCAGAAAATAAATTAGATGAATGTGCTGTAAAAGTGCCTGAATTCTAGCAATGGGCTGCTTATGAACTGACTGTAATGTAAACTGTTTAATTAAGAGAGAGATGACAATTTTTTCACAAGTAGTGGCTAAAGATATTCACTATGTTAACTTGCATTATATCAAGAGTGTCAATTAGAAAAGATATTTTTCTTTTCTTGTTACTAGCACCTTCTTTCATATATGCTGTCTAATGACTTTCCTTCCTCTCTGCACTTGTGCAATGGGGTTAGGGCTTCCCAGTTTTAGATTTCTGTTTACACAACTCAACAGATCAGGTTTCATTTGTGACACTTTGGTGGCCAAGATTGGCAGCATTACTTACTGCCAAACTTATATTCACTCTGCCTTGATCTACTTGTTTGTCTGTGTCCACAACTTTAATGCTCCTTAACTAATGTTGTTGCTTCACCTCTTGGCTATGCTAAAATGATAGAATTTCATTGTTAACTTTTCACTTGTAACTTGATAAAAAATGAACTTATTCACTTGTTGTTTATATCAACCAGAACTTGTCTGTCTAGAGAAAGGAAGAATGATCTACATGACAAAGTGCACATGACTTACATGATTTGAGTTTATTAAAACTTGTTAGAATTTCCTAGGCAACAACCACTTTTGAATGATTGTCTTGTAGAAATAATTGTTATTTAAAGAGATATTAGATTTTATATTAACATTTGGAAAGCAATTTTTTTAACAATATTTATCTCTTTGTGTTGGGGCGAAATAACTTGGTTTTTTGAAGTTGCATGTTGCAATAAGGATAATTCATAGCAAACGGCAAATGGCAACCTCCTTTATCATAATAGTAATGAGAAATTTAAATTGCATTTGTTGCTTCAATGTTAAGCTTTATCTGAAACCAAATATGGAAGTAATCTTATCATTTGACCACAATTTGCAGTTGACAGAATGCCACTTTAAAAAAATTCCACCAAAATAAGTCCACTTCAAGATACATTTATTTTTCTCCAGAATTTAAAAAAAGGACTAGCTAGTCATCAACATTATTTTTTTAAGATTTTATTATGTTTGTTTTATTATTACCTTATTCTTGGGAAAGTTTGAAATTTATTTAACAAAAATATAATGAAAGATTATATTTCATATTGGTATACTTTAAATATAAAACATGAAGAATTATCTCCCTTACATTTATAATCTATTCTAATAAAAAAATAAATGCTAATATTTTTTCTGAATTTGTAACACATTCAAAGTAATTTTTGAAATGCAATAAAGGTTCTGTTCTATAAAATAAAATAAGGTTGTTTAAAATTCTCTACCAAAAGTCAAAAATAAGATTATCTTGACCATGTTACAATTTAATTCTTTTACATTTTTACTAATCAGAGCATTTAAAATTTATTTTCCAGGGTGTTATAGGGGTGGGTGGTTTACAAGGGCCACCAGGTCTTCCTGGTTTCCTTGGTCATGATGGTCCTATTGGTCCAAAAGGAGTTTTTGGTAACATTGGAGAGAAAGGAAGCACAGGATCTAAAGGCAACAGAGTAAGTATTTCATTTTTCTTTAAAGTTAATATAATGTCTTTGCTGACATGCACAGTTTATAATGGAATATATAAGTAGTAATATGAACATATTAACTAATGATCTGTGCAAATCCAAGTTTTATAGTTGTTCATTTTGAGATTCAGTAGTCATATTCCTAGTCATATTACTAATGCACTGGGCATAGTGTAATATGTACATTGTGTATGTTTTAAGTGCATTTGGTATGTCAGCAAATACAACACCTCTCTTAAGGACATTATAGTAAATCAGTTGCAAATTAAAAACATGATTAAACAAAATAAAAATGTTCTTATTTCAAGACAGAATATCTTTAAGAATATGGATATACATTTCAGTATTCAAGATATTTTTTATAGTCATAATATGCATAAATTTAAAGTCTGTAAAGTTGAGAAACTTATGAAAGTGATTGTCATATATTGTTCTTATATTTATGAAATATTTATACATTGATGTGTTAAATTTTAGGTCTTATTTGGTTGGTTTTACTTTGTTTCATTATAACAGTATGAACATATTTTGTCTGAATTTCAGTGATAAGATGTTATCATTATTTACACTATTTACATTCATGCTAATGTCCTTGTCTTTGTTGCTTTTATCACTACATTTTGGCCTTCTTCAGATAACCATCAGAGAATTTTGAACTGAACAATTTATTTAATCTATGTGGGTAGATTGTTCTTGTTCTCCTGTCCTAGAGATTGAACCCATTACTATGCCACCAAATTAAAGCTTTCTGAATGTGGTGGCATAGCAATTGTGAGTTCAATCCCTGGCAGAGTTAGTACTGACTTAAACTCAATGGAAACAGGGAGAGTGATAGGTAAACAGTTCTAAAAAGAGCATTATGAGATATCCCTCAACATAGACTGCAGAACAAGAACAATCTACTTCAGTATATTTAAATGGTGCAGTTTGAAATTCAGGTAAGGTTACTTAGATTGACACTCAAAGAAGGCTCGAGGGTACAACAGCCAAAACTTTGATAACACCAACAAAGATGAGGACATTAGTCCAAATGTAAATAGTGATATGAACATATTGACTAATAAACATTATATGCTAATTAACTTTTTCAATTAACAAAATTGCTAAATATCAACACAATCATGAGTTGTACAATTTTCTTTTTGAAAGTATTTTTTCTGAAATAACTTGGGAGGGGGAGAACTATTTAGAATTGTATTTTATTCTTGATAATCAGTTTTGTAGAGACATATATTTGTAAATTATCTTAAGTCAGTATTTTTTTTTTGTTATGAACTCTCAGCTTAAATCTTGTCTGTTGCTGTTATTGTCTAATACCAAATTTTACTTAATCTTTGCAAATGTGTTCAGATTGGTATTTTTGAACAATTTCACATTACTTATCATTTTTATGGTTGAAATATTTAATTGTACCTAACAAGTATGCAAATATGAGTATAAGGTGCTGTGTCTGCTGAGATATATACAGGGTGCGATGAGTAAATTGTCGCCATTTTATATCTTTAATTTCACATATGCATGTTGTTTGTTTTTGATTTTGTTGACTTCACAGTAAAGTAGGGTCAGTTGGGCACAGTCTGTGAGAAAAAGAGCACCATGACACAATTCACTCAACCAGAAAATTGGAAACGGCATGCTGTACTGTTTGGCATTCATGCCAGAAGCTTCAATACAAGCATTTCAGAGTGTTTGGGTGTCAATCTGAGGACAGTGCAAAGGATTCAGAGAGGATTATAAGTCTAATGGTGATTACAAAAGTATTTGGAGTGATCACTAGTGATGGTGATGTTATGCCTTCATTTATCTTCCCACAGTGAATCAGACTCAACACTGAGGCCTACAGCAAGTGCCATGAGGTGGTAGTGCTGCCCTGGGTCAAGAGGGTGGCTGCTGGAAGACCTTATGTCTAGCAACAGGGCTCTGTACCATGTTACACAAGCAGGAAAACCAAGTCATGGCTGTCAGACAATTTCTGCAATCACATCACCCCTTACATCTGGCCACCTAACTCCCCAGATTGCAACCCCCGGTGTGGGGTGTGGTTGAGTTAGAGAAAAACAAAACTCCTTGTAACACCAAAGATGAACTGAAGGCAAGGATTATAGCAGCATTCACCAATTTAAACAAAGAGACCGTTCAGAAGAGTTGCAGGAGATTTCAAAGTTGTCTGGAGGCCGTGGTTGAAGCCAATGGTGACTCTATTGAATGAATTTACACTTCAGTATTTCAAGATATTTTTGTGCACTTCTGGTAAATATATCTGTTAAAATGAGATGTCAGTGTTATTTTAAATTTTTGAATTTATCCATTGCACCCTCAACAATTATTGCACCATGTAGATTCATTTTTTTTATGTATATAAGAGTGCTCTATTTTAAGTACTATGATGCTACCATGTTGAAATTTACACTGGCATTAGTTTGGTATATTGCTTGTAAGTTACATTTTGGATACAATTCGGAGGATTATTTCTGTTTTTTTTTTTTTTTTTTTGTTGTAATGTGAAACAAATGGTTTCAAACTCCAAAAGAACCAACAGATTCTACCTCTTGTTTGAGGATAACAAAAGCAAATATAGTGAAGTTAAATTCTTGGATTAAATGCAACTTCAAAAGTTACATGATGTTACTGGTACAAGGTCATCCAGAAGTTGAAAAATACAATGAAAGGAATGCTGAAAACTTTTCAGAGCTGGCTTAGTATGTTGAAGATAAGAAGCCTTCTTTTCTGACACTAATGATTATATTGAAAGGCATTAGAAATCTTGAAGCTGTACTATGCATCAAAACAAAACTCATGATTATTTTTCAATAAATGAAATTAATTTCTCTGAGAAAATAAGCACAGGAAAGTATCACTGATTATGATAAGAGCAGAAAATCTGCTGCATCTTTAAAATTGTCTGGACAAATATTCAGTGACAGCCTGTTGGTTGCCTGATCTTACAGTGATATCTGTTGAATTGAAATCTTTCATCACCATTATCTCTCAAAAAAAGAAAAAAAACAATATTCAACATTCAGTGGATTCATCAAGAAAAGTTTTTGAGAAGATAGAATGTGACTATAAGAAAACCATATAATGAAAATGGAAACAAAATGGTGTAATCTCAAATTTAGAAACAAAAGATTTTTGTGTTGTCCATGTACAAAAAAGAATTGACAGTTGTAAATTGTGGAAGCAAAAACAAAGATTTTGTAAATCTAAAATGAATTTACTTTTCTATTTTCTCTCAGAATATATACCATATATACATAATGTTGGTTGATAGTTGAGTTGACATGTAATCACAATGGAATTTTGGTAATTAGTAATTATAGTTTTACTTAATAACAATATCACCTAACCAGTACAAATCAATACAGAATTTTAAAAGATTTAAAACTTTATAAATTATTCTAATTAAAATTCTTTAAAAATGGAAATAATTCTTGTAAAAACTCATTCATAAAAAAAAAAAAACTTTTTAAGACAATAGTGTCTATAGCATATCTTATTCATAAAAGCAATTAAAAGGTTTCCTAAATAATGTCTTAGTTTTTTACATTTTTATTTTATGATTCAGAGCAGATTTTCCATAACTGGTGATTTCGTTTTACACAAACGAAATTGCATATAACTAATATAAATATTAAGCAGTGCAAAAATTAATTTCTCAAGATTTCCTAAAAAAGAAACATTTTTAAAATAATTTCATTCATTTGTTAATAAGGCCTGAGTGTTTCATTAAAATCCAACAATTATTTGGTTTTTGTAATATTCCCAAATCAACGTATTTTTCACCCCAAAATAGAGGCTAAAATTTTCTATACTAATACTGCTCTCCTCCCCCCATGCAAGAAAAACAAGATGATTTTTTCTTTTTAAGCAGCTATCAACAAAAGGGTGTCTGTTAAAGTAGATGTTATAAGATTTAATATTAAAAGAAAAGAAAATCTGTACTTTCTTAACAATTTCATTGAAATCTGTATTAGAAAAGCTAAAAAGATTGTCAATGACATTTTAGGCCATTGTAATATTGTAAAGGATGATAACTTTGAAGGAATGAAAATTACATAGAAACAATTTCAAGTGTGAAATTTGTTTTGAAGTAAAAAATGATGCAGTGCGGGAATAGAATATCAAACAAACAGGCAAAATCAATATTGAAATGAATCTATTGTGATTTAGCTAGTCTGGCATGTCCCAAGGTTAATGATGATTTCAGATATGTTCAGAGTTCCATGGACAGTCTATTACTAAAGTCAATATTACCAAAAATATTGTGAACATATACCATCATGACTGCTTGAAATATTCAGAATAGGTGTTTACCTGTTCACTTGTATTAAACTAAAATTTTATTAATATGTATATATTTGGTACAATTTACTATGCATATATGCAAAATAAAAAGAACCTTAATGCCAGAAGTGAAAAAGTTAAGACACAAAGATAGTCCAAGAAATAAATTTTCCAAAAAGGAAAAACATTAAAAAAATGTGTAAATTTCACCAATAACTTTGAAACTGTGAATAGTGACAGTGAATCTCATTAATCCACTTATATCTGTATTTAACTCTATGACAAAATAATTATAAGAACCAATTGTATTGAAACTGATCTATTTGAACAGAAAAAATAGGGAAGTGCAATAAACTTGTAACCATGAAATAATAAAATCATTGCTTCTGTTAAAGTTTTAGAAGCAGGTGACCATCTGGTTAGATACAGATCTTATTACAGCATAGATTACATGATTAGATTTGATATGTTAAAGGTCAAAATCTAGGTCACTAAGAAATGGACACCAATCAAGGTCAACTTATCCAAGACTTAAAAAAAAAAAAAAGTGAAATTATTGATAAGGTTACCAGATCTCCTATACTGAAAATAATCCTACTGGAGGAGGCAATATCTGTATCCAAGCAGGAAATGTAATAAACTAAAATATTTCAAAGATTATGTCATAGGGAGTAACATTGGTGACAGCATGAAATACACCA